GGGTTAAGTATGCATAGTAAGACCGCAAAATTGTGTAAGCGCACCTTTGACTGACGCCCTCATGCGACAAATGCGATCTTGCATCTACCTAGAAATCAGTATCATAAATATTAACACGAATTGTAAAAGTGGCGAGTTAACAAGGAAAGAGCACCGTATGTATATCAATTGCTTTATTTGAATGATATTCAAGAAATCACACGACTCATTTACCTAATGTACGGGAAAACTTTTCATCCTGTGGGACAGCGAGGATTCTTGGCCCTCCTATAACAGAAAACCCACATCTGTGCTCTTGAGTTGACTTTTATTGGCTTACGCATCGGACCAATGTTTTAGTTGCAAGATCATAGAAAACGATTACGCAGAGATCTCACAGGTGAAAATAAGACCATCGGTAAAGTATTCCATATGGTATCAAGGCGCTACTGTTTTTGGCCTATGTGTGAGGAGGATACTGCGCTTTAGTGGTTTCAACTTAAACTAAAAATCTTGACTTTACGTACTATTTTTGCTTTTAAACGCTAGTTAGTGTAACAGAAAATACACTACTGTACCGATGACATCATCCAACGTATGATACAGAATCAGTAGTTTACATAAAAGATTCCTATTGAACATTATCAGCAACCAAAACATTCCTATTGAAGATTATCAGCAACCAAAACATTCCTATTGAAGATCATCAGCAACCAATAAACAAAAGAAACCAGAGCCTATAAATAGAGGATTAAGCATAGAAATAAGTTAGTCTTCTATTATACTGAAGCATATGAACTTCAGGTTAGAATTGATTTAAGTACCTCTTGGTACCAATAAAATTATATTTATATATGTACATCGAGAGTATGAATTTAACTGGGGGCTCAATAAGTGAATAATAAAAGGAACTCCTAAAAAATCAAATTCCACACGTCCTGAAAAAGAGGACAAGGAGAACCAAAAAAAAAACGGGGCCGCTTCCGAAAAAAGCGATTACAAGTGTTTGATCAAGGCAGAGGAATCATTATGGAAGCAAGGGTAGTAACCTTGGAACAAGCTTATGCCGCTGTAGAAGCACAATTAGCCCAGCTGCAGCAAGCGCAAGTACCTGAAATCGAAGAATTCCAACCGATAAGTCCCAGGATAAACAATGCAAATGAAATAAATTTGAGACTATTCGAACGGCTACCAGTGTTCAGCGGCGACACATCCAAATACAGGACATGGAGGGCAACCGTCATATCAGCAATGAGTCCCATACAAGCCTTTCGAGATACCAAACCATATTACGATGCATTATTTATATTACGTCACACGAAGATCGAAGGAGAACCAGCAACTCTTCTACAGAATCATGGCACAGTATTTCACTTACAAGCAATACTCAATCGCCTAGATTACAGCTACGCCGATACTAGAAGCTATAACGCCCTCATAGAGGAAATGAAAAGACAAATACAAGGAAGACAGACGCTATCCGAATTCCACAGCAAGATCTGTCAAATCTTTAATTTAGCAATGACTAAGTGCGAAATTGATTACCCAGGGAATACTCACTCCCTACAGCAGGTCACAAAAGAAATGGCCATAGATTGCTTCCGCAATGGCATAAATGATGAATTTACTCAACACACATTATATGCAGCAAAACCAAGAGATTTAGAAAGTGCATACGCATTTGCCACGGAGATTCTTTATAAAAGGCAGAACAAATCGATACGACGAGAAGCTTATAACTACCCCAAACACCCACAAAACGAACGGAAGTATCAACCAGGAGCTCAACCTATTCCCCACATGGAAAGATCAAACCCGACACCAATGGACGTGGATACATCAATAGGAAGATTCCGGCAACCCACGAATAATCAGCATCAACAACAGCAATCGTATCAACAGAATCCCTTCAGAAACAACTATGAACGACAAAGAGTAGGATACGCACCTTTCAATCCCAATAGAGGAGAACCATTTAAACGAAACCACCAACCAACGTCATCGAGATATAATATAGCACCACAGAAACTACAAAGGATCAACCAAATAACGGATGATAATAGTGATCAGTCATTAAGGGTAAATATAGACGAAAGCGAATTTGAAAATAGAGCTACTTTTTTAGACGAGTAAATAATCTACCGTGTCTTTAGATTATTTTACAGGATAACAAAAAACTATTAGTTTTAATAGACACAGGTTCGACATTAAATTATATTAGGAAAAATATTCCAAATAGAAAGACCTTCCCAGTTAAATAATTTGTTAGTAGAACTCTGAATGGTTCAAACACAATCAACTCAGCCAAGAAGATTAGAATGCTAGGACAAGAATTAATATTTTTTGAAATCGAAGAATTAAAAGAATTTGATATGATATTAGGTGAACAATCCTTGAGAGAAATGAAAGCTAAGATAGATCTGTTCGAATATAAAATGATGTATGTCAGGAGAACAGAACAGAAGAAAAAAGAAATGGATGTCAGTCAAGTAAATTTCACAATAGATGAGAGCAAATATAAAAAAGAAGTTGAAGAAATTATGAGAACTAATGAGGAAACAAATCCTATTTTACCATTTACAACAACAATTGAAGCGACGATCCGCACTAAAACTGAAGAGCCAATATGGACGAAACAGTAGCCTTACCCCTTTTCAGACAATAATTTTTTAAATAAAGAAATAAATAAAATGCTAGAGAATAATATAATTAAACCCAGTAAAAGTCCCTATAACTCACTCGTATGGACAGTACCAAAGAAAGGAACTGACGAGTTAGGAAACCCTAAGAGAAGAATGGTCATAGACTTCCAGAAATTGAATAGCGAAACCATTACCGATAGATATCCCATACCCGATGTCAACATGACAATACAGAATTTAGGTAAAGCAACTGTTTTTACAACCCTAGATTTGGAAGCAGGTTTCCATCAGATAAAAATCAAGGAGTCAGTCACCGAAAAGACAGCCTTTAGCATAAACGGAGCAAAATATGAATTCTTAAGGCTGCCGTTTGGACTAAAGAACGCACCTTCAATATTTCAAAGATGCGTAGATGACATATTAAGGAATTACATAGGAAAATTCGTGCATGTATATATAGACGATGTGTTAATATATTCATCCTCACACGATGAACATATGGAACACATAAGAATTGTTATAAATGCACTGCGTCAAGCAAATATGAAGATTTCATACGAAAAATCTAATTTTTTCAAAGACAGCACTGAATATTTAGGACATATTATTAAACATAACAGAATAACCGTAGACCCACAAAAAATTGAGACCATAAAAAATTACCCGGTGCCTATGAATCTGAAAGAATTAAGATCATTTTTAGTACTAGCCGGATATTATAGAAAATTCATCAAAGACTACGCCAAGATTACTAAACCCCTAACATTGTTTTTAAGAGGAGAAAACGGTCTCGTAAAGAAAAATCAAAGTGAAAGAATGCAAATAAAATTAGATGAGGAAGCCATAAAAGCGATGAATATAATAAAAAAGGAATTACAAGCACAAGTCGAACTCTTTCAACCCGATTTCAATAAACCCTTTGATTTTACCACGGACGCAAGTAATATTGCCATATTGTGTTATCCCAAGGTAGAAATCCCATTTGTTTTATATCCAGAACACTAAGCGAGACGGAACAAAAATATAGCACGAACGAAAAAGCGCCAAGCCATAATTTGGGCACTACAAAAACTCAGGAACTATTTATATGGACGATCAGACCTTACAATCTACGCGGATCACCAGTACCATAACCTACTCTATTTCAGGGAAGAACCCTAATAATAAACTAAAAAGGTGGAAAAACCAAATAGAAGAATACGGTGCCAAATTGGTATACAAACCAGGTTCTCAAAACATAGTTGCAGACGCACTAAGTCGGCAACAAATTAATCAATTAACCGACTCAGAATCGCAGCACTCTCAACTCAGCTCACCCACTGAAACCATAAGAAGGGTAGGCACTAGCTTAAACCATTTTAATAATCAAGTTGTTATCCAAACTAACAATGCCTGGTCGGGTGCTGACTGGAAATGGGCACTACAGAGGATTCTGTGCGATGTCAGAATGGTGCTCAGCTAAGATCAGGAATCAGTGCTATGTGCTAAACTCCTTAATAGCGTAGTCATATGGAAATGGTTTCTGATCGTGGCTTGGAGGTCTGAAGGGGCTGGATCAAGGCGTCACGCGCACCGTACCGAGGATCGGCCAGGCTGGGGGCCCCTAAATAGCCCAGTCGCGAACGGAGCCCTCTGGGAGGCGGCCACACCCAGGATGTAAGTAGGCCTTACCTGGGCATCGCGGATCTCTGCCCGGGTGGACGAACCCCTTTCTCCGCAGCCTGTGGGATCAAATATGGATAAAAAACAAATAACAACAACAACAACAAAAACAGCAACAACAACATCAAAAACAATTTATAAGGGACCGGCCCCCTTAAAGCGTCGGAAGGGTCCCGGCCAACTAAACAAGGAGCTCAAGCGATGCAGAGTACCTCCACCAGCCGTAGTGCGGTGACAAATAGCGGGAAACCAAGGCCAATGGTGAAACCGGGCCAAGCTCTCGCAAAAACGAAGGAAAGTTGCGGAGGGGTTGCTCAAAGGAGTCCACCCCGGGAAACTCCTGGCACCAGTGGACGCCAACCTGGCATGCAGATTGCAGCCGGGGATAAGGCTGAATCTGGGGCGCAGGCCCCGGGCGGTCCTCCCGCGACACCCACGGCCTTCACGAGGCCTGACCAGAGGCCAGAACCAGCTGCAGCGGGCTATCGACAGAGGAATGCTCGAATCCTGCAAAGGTTCACCGCAACGCCTGACCTGTGTAGCAAGGCGAAAGAAGAGCATGTGAAGGAGATCCTCACAGAAATCGACTGGGCAAAGGCAGTCCTGCCCGACTACCGCAAGCCGGAGGAGAAGCAGCCGCAGGCGCCCTCCAGTAAGCGCAATAGATCGGGGGAAAATACGCCCAACCATGCAAAGAGGGTCAGAACGCAAGGGCCTTCTTTTGCTGAAGTAGCCAAGGAGCAGATCCTGCTCGGCGTCATTGATGAGAGCAATGAAGACAGCCTCACCCTGAGGCAGCAATGGAAGTGGGTTAAGGCCGCGATGGCCGACATTGCTATCAACATTATGTTGGAGAATCCGGGACCTCCGCCAACCTGCAAGGGAGCGGGGTGGTTCCAAAATAACATCCGCGTTATAGCATGCGAGGATGCTAGATCAGCGGAGATCTATAAGAAAACAGTCGCAGGTATTGGAGAAGTCTACCCTGGTGCGAAGCTCAGGGCGGTCGACTTCAAGGACCTACCGGTGCGACCGAGAGCGAGAGCATGGTTGCCTTGCAGGCCAGCGGAGCCAGAAAGGATCCTGCAAACCATAAGGCTCTATAACCCGGAGCTACCTACCGATAATTGAAAGGTGGTAAAAATTAACGAAAGCGGTAAAGCGACGATGCAGGTTGTCCTGCTTCTAAATAAGGACTCCACAGAGTTGTTGGAGCAAAAGAGCGGGGTCATACGTTACGGCTGTGACATGGCCAAAATTAAGGTCTACAGCAACGACGTAAACGCAGCGAAGAACCTGATCGCGGAGGTAGAGCCGGAAGAGGCCAACAGCGACGTGGAGATGGAGGAAGAATCCGAGCAGGTTGATCCGATGGACGACCTGACCGGGGGTTATGCCTCATCGACGTCTTCGCTGGGGGTCGGACGCATGCTTCGGCTTTATACGGAGGAGGAGTTGATCGAGATGTCGGAAGACGCGGTCAACTCCACCCTAATAGGCGACGTGGGCGATAACGGCCAAGATGGTGAAGGTACTGCAGATTAACATTCACCACTGTAAAGCAGCTTCAGCTGCACTGCTGCTCCATCTAACAGCTAAAGGGGCAGCCGACATCGTCCTAATCCAAGAACCTTGGGTGGTGGGACAAAACATTTGTGGGCTGAAAGCGCCGGGCTACAGACTGGTAAGTGGAGCCTCAACGGGGAAACCAAGGACGTGCATATTGATAAGTATCACACTAAAGCGTCTCTTTCTTCCACAATTTAGCGACGAGGACACAACAGCGGTCAGTCTAAGTGCAAACGGACGACCAATTAAGATGGCATCCATGTACCTAGCGCACGACAAGGAGGTGCCAACTATCTGCATTAAAGACCTAGTGGCCAGCACGAGGCGCTAATTTTGGGAGGTGACGCGAATGCTCACCATCACACCTGGGGCAGCTCCGATGATAACGAACGGGGTGAGTCACTTTTTAATTTCATACTTAGTTCTAAGCTTGTTATTGAAAATAGGGGGAATGATTCCACTTTTATTACAAAATCCCGAAGGGAAGTTCTGGACGTTACCCTTATCTCTGAAAATGCGGAATGTCTGGTCGGGAAGTGGAAGGTGCTTGAGGAGCACTCCTTTTCCGACCACCGATATATCCAATTCGAGGTATTGGGGAAACGCCCAAGGCTCCTCTAACTAGAAACTTGCGAAATGCCAACTGGCATAGGTATCGGAAAGAGCTGGATAGGCTTTTGCCACAAGATAGAGGAGCTGGAATATCTTGTCGACCATTTTACGGGGGCCTGCAGTAAGGCAATAGACATTGCATGCCCCAAAAAGCAGCACCGGGGTAGGAAAAAGCCACCCTGGTGGAATGAAGAAATCAGGATTTCACGCAAAAACTGCAGGAAAACCTTCAATCAGGCTACTGCGTCTGGTAGTGAGGGACATTGGGAGACCTACAAGACAACGTTACGGGAGTACAAGAAGCTCCTAAGAAGGTCGAAAAGAACCTCATGGAAAGACTTCTGCAATGGGGTGGAGTCTATCTCAGAGGCAGGCAGGCTCAGAAAGATACTCTCAGGTACTGCCCAGAAAGCCCCAGGATGCTTGCAAAGACCTGACGGCTCCTGGACAGAGACCGAGGAGGAATCACTGGATCTGCTTCTTTGCACACACTTCCCGGGTTCCACGGATAGCATGCCGGTACAGCCACATCTAACTTGAGATCTTTCGGTCACTGGAGATTTCCTCACTAGGGAAAAGGTCATCTGGTCTATTGGGACATTCAAGCCCTATAAATCAGCAGGTCCGGATGGCATTGCCCCCATACAGCTGCAGCAAACACTTCAGCTAAGCTCAGCGTGGCTACACGCTATAATTAAGGGAGTATTAGCTCTTAACCATATCCCTAGAAAGTTGAGGGAATCAAGAGTGCAGGGAAGAAGGCAGGGAAGGTGTCTCACAATAACCCAAAGGATTTCAGACCCATCACCTTGTCGTCATTTCAACTGAAGGTTATGGAGAGACTGGTGGAGGTCCGTATCAGAGAGTCGGTTGGTGACAGACTCTCTACCACACAACATGCTTATACGAAAGGTAGATCTACAGAAACGGCGCTGGATATAGAGGGCGCCTTTAACAACATCATGCCGGGCGCGATAACGGCAGCACTGGCGGGCCTGGGCATCGACTCGCGCTTAGTTGCGCTCGTAAACCAAATGCTGAGATGAAGGGTGGTCCGGGCGGAGCTGGCGGGGGTATCGTTGACCAGGTTCGTAGAGAGGGGCACCCCGCAAGGGGGAGTCCTATCCCCTCTATTATGGGTCGCAGCGGTAAACTCACTGCTGTGTGGCATGGAGGGGGGTGGCTGTAAGGTTATTGCGTATGCGGATGATCTTGCACTAACAGTAAGTGGGAAATTTCCACAGACTCTATGTGACATTATGCAGGTAAAACTGAAGGAAGTCGAGAGTTGGACAAAAAATAACGGGTTAGGGGTAAACCCAAGCAATACAGAACTTGTACTGTTCACAAGAAGGTACAAAATCCCCCCATTGATAACACAAAGGCTGGCACAGACCACACTAAAATTAAGCGAATCCGCTAAATATCTGGGGATAGTCCTAGATAAAAAATTAAGCTGGATTCAAAACACCGAAGAGCGGGTGCGGAAGGCCACGGTTGCCCTATACAGCTTCAGGAGAGCAATCGGCCAAAAATGGGGTTTAACCCCGAAGGTAGTGCACTGGATATACACCGTCGTGGTGAGGCCCATACTTCTGTACGGGGTAGTGGTATGGTGGCCAGTGCTGGAGAAGAAAGTAAACATTATTAAATTACAAAAAGTGGAGAGAACGGCCCTGATCGGCATTAGTGGTGCTCTCCGCACAACACCTACTATGGCAATGAATACGATCCTCAACATCATACACATAGATATTATGGGACGACAATACGCTGCGTTTGCAGCCCTAAGACTACAGGGGCTTAAAAGCTGGAAAGCGGCTCGCTGTGGTCACACTACAATTCTGAGAAACCGACAACTACCGAGTACAAAGGACTACTGTACCAAGGCTCACTTTCACTAAAGGTTATAGCGTAACGCTACCTAGCAGGGAATCATGGCTCGAAGGAGTTCCGGGATCTAGAGATGCCATAAGATTCTACAGGGACGGCTCCAAACTAGAAAATAGGGTAGGAGGAGGCGTTTACTCGGAGAAATTGGGAATAAAAAGATCATTCCGACTACCTGACCACTGTAGTATCTTTCAAGCCGAATTGGCAGCCATACAAGAAGCCGTGGACAGCCTAAAACTAGCTGTTATCGCCACTACGAAAATATTTATATACTCAGACAGTCAGGCGGCCCTTATGACTCTGTCACTATAAATTCGGAAACAGTTGCCAACTGCCGCAAATCACTTAACGTGATGGCAGAGTAGTTCGCTTTGCACCTGGTATGGGTACCGGGGCACAGTGACATACCAGGAAATGAGAAGGCAGACGAGCTTGCAAGGGCGGGTACTTGCTCTCCACTTTCACCAGCTTGGAAGAGGGTGGGTATGCCACTCGCTTCCTGCAAGCTCTTACTAAGGGAGAACTTCCTTGAAGAAGCGGCCTCCAGATGGGAGCGCACTGAAAACTGTAATACAACGAAGCTTACATGGCCAAAATGGGATGTACGGAGATCGAGAGAAATTCTCACTCTCAATAAAGGCGATATGTCACTGGCCATTGGTCTGCTCACAGGACATATTCTGATAGGAAGGCACGCAGAACGCCTCGGGGTTAGTCACAACGACTACTGCAGGAGTTGCCACGACGAAGAAGAGCCTGAATCAATAAGGCACTTACTCTGCGATTGCCCAGCACTGGGCAGGAAAAGACAGAAATTCCTAGGTATAGGTCTTCTAGACGATCTAGGCGCGACTGCTAAGTTTGGAATACGGCAGTTGCTAAGGTTTGCAGACTCCACAAACTGGTTTAAGGAATAGGGGTTTTCTTTGGATCCATGTGGTATCACAATGGGCCCTGATCGGGCCTAAGTGTGCTGGCGCCCTATGGGCCTAGCAGCCACTTCAACCTAACCTAACCTAACAATGGATTAGTAAGTAGAGAAAGTAAAAATATATTCGGAAAATTTAGACATACCATATACTTCACCACTATAGAACAATTGATAAGTGATATTAAAGGCGTATTACACCCAAACAATATTAACGCCATAATCACTACAGAAGAAATTCTATATCAAATAAAAACCACACTAGTACAAACTTTCCCAACAACTAATTTTGTAATAGCAAATGCATTAGTCAGAGACATCACTGACGAAAATGAACAGAATGAGATAGTTGAACAAATACACAGAAGAGCACATAGAAATTATAGAAATAATATAAAAGAACTCTCTGAGAGCTATTACTGGCCTAACATGCAAAGAAGGCAGCACAAATATGTGAGACATGTAAAAAATGTAAATACGACAGACGACCGAATAAATAACTTTACGGAAAAAAACCAATACCAAATGAAGTAGGTACACATTTACACATGGATACATTTTTTATGGACAACCAAATATATATAACTACAGTAGACAGATACTCAAAATTCTGCTATATAAGAAAAATACCAGATAGGAAAAACACATACATATATTTGAATGAAATACTATCACAAATATTCCCATACGCAACGAACCTAACAACCGATAACGACCCGACATACGTTAATGTAGTAGCAAAATCTGTATACGATCGACTACATATACAGCACACAGCAGTGCCACCACAACATTCGACAATGAACGGTCAAGTAGAGCGGACGCACAGCACAATAGTGGAGCTAACTAACTTACTAGTAAAGGAAACCAAAGGCAAACACGAAGAGGTAATATTCGAAGCAGTACGACAGTACAATCAAACCATTCACTCGGTCACAGGACATAAACCCGAGGACGTGTTTTTCAACAGAGGACGATACGACTATAAAGTCATCAGAAATAGAATTCAATATAATCAAGAAAGAGATATCACCCAACAGAAGGCACCGAACAAACAAATTACTTACAAGAAAGGAGATATTATTTACGTTAAGAGAAGCCGAAGAAATAAAAAACACGATAGATTCATGAAAAAAATAATTGAACAGGATAACGGTAGAACAGTCACAACAACTGATGATAGAATAATACACAAAGATAACATCCGTACGAACTAGAAATGATACTCATAATAATAATAATCTTGCTGTGCATAAACAGAATTAGTTCAGACACAAATATTACAAACCTGAAAGGAAAAGATTATATATTAATAGAAACGAATCCAGCTTTTATATTTCATAGCCACGATTATTTATATCATATTAAAAATTTAACTAGAATATTAACACCATACCAAAATATATTAAACTCAAAATATAATTTAGATTCAAATCCTGAAATGAAAATATTACACCAAAAAATGGAAATATTAATAAAACAGATAAATCCAGTTAATAGATTTAGAAGAGGATTAAACGCATTAGGGACAATATTAAAATGGATAACGGGCACACCAGACCACGATGATGAAGTAGAGATACAGACAAGAATCAACCAATTAATTGAGGGACATAATAAACAAAAAATAACAAATAGTAATTTCGAAAAAATGTTAAAGAAATTAAACCCCAAGGATTTCTCTGAAAAATTAATACTCACAGAAGTCTACAATGAACTAAATACTCTCCTAACTACAATTAATTTAGCAAAAAATAACAACTTCCTGTCAACTTCATTAGACTTAGAAGAAATCACAGAAATCATTGCGAAAGAAAAAAAACAAATGTTTTAACCATAAATATTTCAGAATATGCAGAAATTAAAATTGTTAAATTCAAACAAA